GAAAATCGTAAAAAATTTATTGGCTCGAATGATCCGATTTAGGGGAAAAAGTCTTGTGGTATAAAAAACCCCTTGCAATATATATTTGCTCGTCATTGAACGGTGAAAGTATGAGCGAATATATGTATATACGTTGTGTATGTTGTTGAGTATGATTGTTGATTGATTTGAGGAGCACAGAGTCTCGCTCAATGTTGTTACGATTCGTGTTATAGTCCGCATTGCGTAGGACTGTTCACGATGATTTATTCCAGGAGTGTAGAGTCCCACTCGAATAGTGTTACGATATGTATTTCATGCCACCCTACATTGAATATTTTACGTTACTCTAGGTGGAACTTCTTGTTTCTCAGTCCGATGCGCACAAGATTCAACGATCGACAGTCTATTTAATATATAAAAATCGCCCGAACACCCTCGCATTTCAGAGGATGACAATTGAGAAAAACCTATGCCTTTGTTTGTTAAAACTGCGTGAAAAAAAAAGGTAAGACCGGTCCGGACAGGATTTGATAGACAAAAAGGTCCTCGCTGACCCGTATTTCGAGGTATAAAGTTATTCATGGTGGTCTATGCGTCGAACCACTTGAACTTTGTAATAAATTCTTTAGTTGCGGCAACGATTTAAGTTCGCGTGCGAACATGTAATATGGGGCAAAGCGCAAAGAAACAACATTGAAAGAAAGAAAAATTGTTATATGGTTACATGAAGAAGGTAAATCATACAGGAATATATCAGAAATACTAAAAAGAAATCGATCGACTGTACAAAGTATTATAAACAAGTATCAAGAAGGAGGAATATTGCGGAATAAGGAAAGAACCGGTAGATCCTGAAAATTATCTAAAAGAGAAAAGCGTAAAATCGTCGGAACTATTAAACAAAAACCAGATACCAGTGCATCTGAAATTACATTACACCTTAAAGAATATATGCTGAAGGAAATTTACCCTAAAACAGTACGAAAACTGATCGATATTGGACCGGATATAACAGTAGAGTTGCAAGGAAGAAACCACTTGTAAGCAAAGTAAACTAAAAGAAAAGATTAGAATTTATAGAACAATATATAAATGCTAATGACGACTTCTGGAAAAACATAATACTTTCCGAAGAGTCAAAATTTAATATTTTTGAGTCGGACAGTAGTAAAAAAATATGGCGGAAAGCTAATACTGAATTGGATTTCAAAAATATGCAACCGACGACGAAACACGGAGGTGGAAGTGTGATTGTGTGGGGATGTATTGCTGTTTCTGGAAGCGGCAATTTAGCAATAATAGATGAAATAATGGATAAATATTTATATTTAAATATTTAAAAAAAAAAATTTGAAGTAATGCAGATGAATTAAAATGAATTAGATTTATGAATTAGATGAATTTTATTTTCTGCAATACTGTGACGCGAAACATACAGCCTATATGTATAATGCGTTAGTTGTTGTCAATACCAATACTCTTCACAGGTTAGCAACTCCTTCACAATTGCTTGACTTAAATCCTATTGGACATGTATGGGCGAAATTAGAAAAAAATGTGCAAAAACATGATATAATGTCGAAAAAGCACTTGAAAGAAATATTAAAAAGAAAATGGTGTAATATAGAACCTGTCTTCGTTAAAAATTTGGTATTGTCAATGCCCGAAATATTACATGAAGCGATTCGCCGGAAGCGTTATAATACGAAATATTAATTTATAAAATTTCTGCGAAAATAATTATAGCAATAATTAAATGTACGAATACTTTTGTTCCGGCGATTTCTTATGGTCTCGTGAATTTCAAGTCATTTCAAGTTATTACATGATGTTATTGCCTTCGGTTTTAGGTCATTTGTTACTCTAAGTGCAATGTTTAATATACAGCTATATGTGATTAAATATATTTAATATTATAAAAAATATTATTTTCTTATTTCTATGTTTCAAGTGTACGAATATTTTTGTCTTTCACTGTATTCAGAACAAAAATACTCAAGGTTCTGATTACCACAACATCTGTATTTGAACTTTATTTTGCTTTCTAAAATACTGATTTATATGCGAACAAATTTTCTACTATTTCTACTACTTTATCGACTTAGTTTCTTCAAGTACTACTTTATGTTTGGTTGTACAACTAGATCAGAAGCACAATACAATAATAAATCGCAATATTTTTGTATAAATATTATTTAAAATGTATTGCACGTATAATATATTCTACAGGGTGTCCGCGCCAAAGTGTGACAACGTGATATCTCATGAACTATTGATGCCACGAAAAAGTGCTTATATGGAAATTGCAGGGCAAAAGAGGCTCTATGTTTTGGCAGAAGCAAAATTTTTTTATTATTATTAATGTAAAAGATATGATGGTGAAATTTCGTTTTTTGAATGGAACTATATGTTTTTTTTTCCGATCAGGCGGTAGTGCTTTTCAAGACGCATTCATCAAGGTTTTATGTACTTACCCGATTTTGATTAGTTTTCGTGATATAACGGTTACAAATTTAGTGATTTTCAGCAGTGACGTCTCGGTTTGACGAGTAAGTCATAAAAACGGTTTTATTGTTACGGTAAGTGCCGCAGGTTTGACTCTGCCTGCCGAAACAGATAGCCGGGGTCTATGGTCGAAATATTAGGTTGTCCGAAAAGTTCTTTTCGTTTTTTTAATAGGTGTTAAGTTTGAAATATTTTGCGTTCAGTGTATTATTCTTAAGTAATATATAATCCGTTCTGTTCTACCACCCTTCTGCCATCTTTCTGGAAGCCTCATAATGCCACTTTTCCAAAATTCTCTTGGTTTACTGTTAAAATATTCTTCAAGACCGATTTTTATTTCATTAATTGATGTGAATTTTTTATTGCGAAGAAAATTTTTTAGGGAAAGCAACAAATAATAATCCGATCACGCAATGTCTGGAGAGTATGGGGGATGTGGTAGAACATCCCAATCGAAGTCTAAAAGTTTCTTTCGCACAGGTAAAGAAATGTGTGACCTCGCGTTGTCATGGTGGAACGCGACACCACGTCTATTCACCAATTCTGGACGTTTTGTGAATATAGCTTCCCTAAGTTTTTCGAGTTGCATGCAATATTTCTCGTTGTTAATTGTTTCCCTTGGTTTTTCATCGAGGTAGGCCTTGATAAGATCGGTATCAGTGGTGGATGGACGGCCGCTAATTGTTTCCCTTGGTTTTTCATCGAGGTAGGCCTTGATAAGATCGGTGTCAGTGGTGGATGGACGGCCGCTGCGAACTTCATCTTTAAGATTGAAATTTCCGGCTTTAAACCTCCTAAACCAATTACGGACATTTTGAACAGTTATAGAATGATCTCCATAAACATCACAAATCTCTTTTGCGGTATTTCCAGGCGTAATGTCTCTTTTAAAACAGTAAAACATGACATGGCGCAAATGCATCTTTTGATCTTCCATCTTTCACAACGCGAAAAATACGGGATTCAATTTCTACTGATGCTTAAAACAGTCCTCTTGTAGTGCCAGAGAATGACACTGGACCAAATAATTGATTTTGGAGTGATCTGGATGTTTGTTTACTTAAGCACAACAATGTAAAGCCTCGAGCGACAAACGCAAAAAGAACTTTCCGGACAAACTAATACATATTTTAAATATTATATACTAACTCCGAAGAGTAAGAAACGTGAAAATTATTGTCCATTACGGTCTAAGTTTTCCGTATCGAAGATGATATTAATAATTTGGAAGGTTGGGACATTTATTTAAATGTTTCAGTAGAGGGTAGGTATAAAGACAATTTAACAAAAAATAATATGCAAAAAATTTATTCCATGTGCTTTCCGCTATTTGAAATACAAGTTTGTATACGTTTTACAAATTCGTTCTCGACGTTTTCCATAATTTCAATAGGTCGTGGTGGACCAATTTCTTGGCCACCGCGGTCACCTGATTTAACCTCAAATTTTTTCTTGTGGGGTTACATTAAACAAGAGATTTATAAAACGCCGATAAACATTATAACTAACTTAAAAAATAGAATACACAATGCATGCGTAAATATTCCGTGCGAAATTATGGAAAACGTTGAGAACGAATTTTTAAAACGTATACAAACTTGTATTTCAAATAGCGGAAAGCACGTGGAATAAATTTTTTGCATATTATTTTTTGTTAAATTGTCTTTATACCTACCTTGTACTGAACCATTTAAATAAATGTCCCAACCTTCCAAATTATTAATATCATCTTCGATACGAAAAACTTAGACCGCAATGGACAATTCTTTTCACGTTTCTTACTCTTCGGACCTGCCGTTCTGACCATAGACCCCGGCTATCGGTTTCGGCAGGCAGAGTCAAACATGTGGCACTTGCCGCAACAATAAGACCGATTTTATGACTTACTTGTCAAACCGAGACGTCACTGCTGAAAATCACTAAATTTGTAACCGTTATATCTCGAAAACTAATGAAAATCGGGTAAGTACATAAAGCTTGATGAATTCATCTTGAAAGGCATTATTGCCTGATCGAAAAAAAAACATATAGTTCCATTTAAAAAACGAAACTTCACCACCATATCTTTTACATTAATAACAATACAAAAATTTTGCTTCTGCCAAAACGTAGAGCCTCTTTTGCCCTGCAATTTCCATATAAGCACTTTTCCGTGATATCAATAGTTCATGAGAGATATCACGTTGTCACACTTTGGCGCGGACACCCTGTACATTCTATTTACTTCACATTTTATACTTCGTTTCAACGTAATCACATGATTACATCTATATTTAATTTAATTTTTTAATTTTCAGTATTACACTGTTTCTTCTTTCAATGATACTGATTTGCAATTTTTGTCTTATGTTGGTCATAAAGAATGCTTAAAGTTAAGAATTTTATTAACGTCTTATTCTTAACTCATACTCATTTAATACATTTAATAATGTTGTTGAGTAATATATTCTTTTATTTATAAATATAAACGAATAATTTATTTCATTACTAAAAGTATGTGTTTTTTTTTTTAGATAAATACACATCACAGTTTGGTTCAGGCAGCCAATATGCTTACTTCCACGATGAAGATGAGACAACCTTCCATTTGGTTGATACAACTCGTGTACAAAAACCACCCTATCAACGTGGTGGTCGTTTTCGTCATAATCAAAGAAATTTACGTGGCCGTGGAAATCAACGTGGAGCGTTAAGTCAAATGCAACAACTGGGTAAACTAAAACTTCGAGAAAGAGATCGTAAGGGTCAAACGAAACGCTGGGGTAGGCAGCAAGGCTTACGGAACCATAAAAATCAACCGCCAATTAAAATTCGCGATGCTTCTGTTACTGTAAGACCAGATTGGGTTACAATTGAAGAAATGGATTTCCTACGTTTAGCGAAATTATCTTTACCTAGTGTGAAGGATGGGGAAGACATTTTATGTTGTGGTTCCCTGGAGTATTACGATAAAACTTATGACAGAGTTAATGTCAAAAATGAAAAGCCATTGCAAAGAATTGATCGAATTTTCCATACCGTTACTACTACTGATGATCCAATAATTCGTAAACTTTCAAAAACAGAAGGTAATGTTTACGCTACGGATGCCATCCTGGCAACAATAATGTGTTGTACTCGTAGCAACTACTCCTGGGACATTGTAATTGAAAAAATAGGAGATAAATTGTTCTTCGATAAACGGGATAATACTGAATTTGACTTGCTAACTGTAAATGAAACCAGCGTTGAGCCTCCTCAAGATGATGGAAATTCTTTAAATTCTCCTCGAAACTTGGCATTGGAAGCCACATTTATTAATCATAATTTTTCTCAGCAAGTATTAAAATCTAATGAACCCAGGTATAAATTCGAAGAAGGTAATCCGTTTATTTCTGAAGAAGAGGAAAGTGACGTTGCTAGTGTGGCATACCGATATAGAAAGTGGGATTTAAATAATGGAATTGTCCTTGTTGCACGATGTGAACACGATGCTGTGATGCAAGGTCCTAATAATGAGATACAATTCCTAACAATCAAAGCTTTAAATGAATGGGATTCAACATTAGCCAATGGCGTTCAATGGAGGCGGAAGTTGGATACACAGCGTGGTGCAGTATTAGCTAACGAATTACGTAACAATGCATGCAAATTAGCAAAATGGACTGTCCAGGCACTATTAGCAGGTTCGGATCAATTGAAATTCGGATATGTGTCTAGAGCAATGGTCAGAGATTCTAGTAAACATGTTATTCTTGGCACTCAACAATATAAACCAAATGAATTTGCAACACAAATCAATCTTAATATGGATAACGCTTGGGGTATTTTGAGGTGTATTATTGATATTTGTATGAAACAAAAAGATGGAAAATATTTAATTATGAAAGATCCAAATAAACCAATGATAAGATTGTATGATATTCCGGATAATACATTTGAAAGTGAAGGAGAAGAAGATGAAGATGATGATGAGCCTGTCAATGATGCTTTCCAAAGTTAACATCTTTACCTTTCTAAAACTTCGCCGAATCATTTTCTTTAATAATTATTGCTATAAACGATTAATACTATAAACATGTATTATAATAACGAAACAATAAATACATTCTAATTTAATTTGCTCTCATATTTTTATAATAATCCTACACAATTTACATAGTTGAAGTTAAAAGAATTGTAATACAAACGCTAAGAATTATTGTCGTGCTTGTATTTTCACTTATTTTGTTTTTAATGTACAGTTCCTAGTCGTCGAATTAGGACCACATACGACGATTGTCTTAGGTCACTCAATTATTAAAATATGTTTAATGCGTTGATAACGATATACACTGCACAAAAGAAATATGGCATAGAAAAATTTTAGGCAAAAATTGACCAAATTTGACTGATGGTAACTCCGTGAAAAATCATCGCGAAGTTATGCTCTTTTTTTTAAATTAAAGCTTGAGATCTCTACTTTAAGACCCTGTAGTTTGATTTTAGATTTGATGCATCCCTATCATAATAATACCGTAAATGTAAGGTTATGTTTGCAATATTGAAAATTACAAAGTTGGACGAAATGCATAGACTTGCCACATTTTTTTTGGTGATACTGTTTACAGCAGCATAAAGTCCAAACCTTCATCTTTAATTTCCAGTATGTGAAAAACCGCTACCATTTTTTTCCCGCAAAGATACAGAACTTTAAAGAAACCCTTGCATTTATGGCATATACCGCCGGCATTAGCATTACCCGATATGCACCTGGGAGAGGTTGCTGGATAGATTTTGCACATCATATGGCTTTGACAAGAGCCTTTTTTGTGTGTGAGTATCTGTGTATGTGTATGAATTATCGTTGAGAGGCCTCATTGAGAATCATTCTCGAATTTTGCAGTCCCAATTGAATTCGATTGCTTCCACATCCTGCAGTAATTCTCATCAGAGCGTAAGAATTACGCGCGTCAAGAAGCTTCGAGCTTTGCAGCTAAGCCCGATCATGATCAAGTGTCTATACGCTGGGACGGTCTAAACGTTTAATAAAAAGCCCTTACATTAAAACTCAGTTAAATAATAAATAGAACAGTTGCAAATAATGTTAACTTATTTGTTTATCATGAGTAAGGGACAGAATTAATTATGTGTAATTAACAGAAGTCGGGCAACTAAAATTTCTGTAACTTTAAATTTAAATAAAACTTCTGAACTATTAAAATAATCTTTGCCAATTGTTTAAAAATAATCCTGCTTGATTGAAAATGGATCCTCTTAACTAGATCGTTCTATCAATCGTAACTATTCGTAAAAATAATACACAACCCACAATAGCTGATATCGCAGCCGGTTCACTTCACTATCATTTTTTATTATCATTTTTCATTGTAATATTTTGTTGCCATTTCTCATTAATTTCGTAACATAACAACGATGGATAAACAAGCAAAGATGCGGAAACGATTATCCGAAAATTATTTCTGTGATTTTTTACTCTTTAACGTTTCGCTTTGGACGCTCTGTCCTAAGCTGCCGATTGTGACTCCAAATATTTTGAGCCTAGAGAAAGCGAGAGTTCTGAACAACGTCTTTGGTTGTTCGGACCGTCGAGTCAGACAATCATAAAACAAGTAAACGACTCCATTTTGCACCCTGGACGGTCGCTTGAGACTCTAAAGTTTAGAGGCATCCGAGAAAACCGTTGTCCCTTTCTTTTTCTAAAAGGCAAAAAACGGTTTTCACTTTTCCTAGAGAAAGGCATACTCTCACTTTCGTTCGAGTATCGTATGTCCTTGTTGCGAGGGACTATTGTCTAAATTTTCCGTCGAAGATGTTCATCGCGTTGCGTTCGGCAGTTTAGGACAGATCGTCGAGTGTTCAACATCAAAAATAAAATAAAAAGTTGCTAAAATTATTTATGAATAATCGTTCATGCGTTTTTATTTGTGATATTTATCTGTGGTTACTTCGTTACGAAATTAGTGAACAAGGGTAGTAGAATATTACAGTTAAAAGTGACAATTAGAAGTGACAGTGAAGTGAAATGAGTTTACTGTCCAAGCTGTGACATCAGATTTTGTGCAATGTGTCTTTTTATGAAAATCAGAATCGATGAAGTCATGAAAACACAATTTTACTGGAACAGGATTATTTTTAAACAATAAATGAGTCTAATTCAAATTTACTTACGAGGTACGATCATTAAGTTCCGGGATTGTGTCTGCTGTGACCAAACGAATGACACGATTGACATACGCTCGCAGAACAACAATCTTCGAGACATATGACACGAAGTTTGGAAGCGATATCTGCATTCAATCCTGTGTTATACAAGTTTATGGTAGCATACGCACGTTCTCCTTTGCGAAATCACGATGGATTCCAAATTGGAACAGAGGGACAAAAAAAAAGAAACATGGAAAATTGTCGTTCTTCCTCACCCTCCGTATTTATCAGATTTGGAACCGTATTATTTCTTTTTGTTTCCCAAAATGAAATTAAAGCTCAAGGGTCGCCGATTTGATACGGTGGACGAGATTCAACGCGAATCGCAGCTGGTGCTTGACACGCTTCAACAAGAAGACTTCTAGGAAGCTTTCCAAAAATGGCAGAGGCTCTGGGATCGATGCATAGCTGCACAAGGGGACTACTTTGAAGGGGATAGTAGCCAAATTTGAAACATGTGACTTTATCTGCATAGACGGGACCAGTCCTGGAATTTAATGATCGCACCTCGTATCAAGTATTCACGAAGAATGAATAAATGAACATTACTTTTAATTATTCTGTTCGTTATTTAACCAGTTAACTGTGGCGATCTTTTTGCAAAGCGCGCACCAGTGTGTGTCGTGATAATCAAGCGATGACGAGTTACCTCTCAAGAATTTATGAATCCGTCTCAAATCATTTTCAATTTTTATTTGTTTATTTCATTTCGTGTTGACCCCTAAACATTTTAAATATATTACAATTTACGACTATAATTTAGTTTTCGTCAAAATTACAATTTAAATATCAAATAGTAACAAAATTTTACGCATGACGGATATAGTCGTCATGATACAAGATACTGCCACATCCCCATGACGGATATAGTCCTCAAACACACTTAACTGGTTAACTGAGTTTTTAACCGACTTCGAAAAAGGAGGAGGTTACTCAATTCGATCAGTATATTCTTTTTTTTTTTTTTCTATGTATGTTCGCGCGTTACGCCTAGCTGGATGGACCGATCGGAATGAAACCTTTTGCATCTGGTAGGTGCTGACTCCCCATTAGTACCATTATCAAAAAGTTTTTCATTTTTCAATTGCAAAGTGTTGTTATTCCAAAAAAAAACCGGCACTTTTGAAATAAAATTTTCTCGATTTTAGTGCGTTTTTAATATCTTATCACGGACATGATTCTGAACAATTTTGTTCATATACAAAGTTCGCGGAAAGCTTTAGCTTTCAAGATATTAGCGAAAAATTGTTATTAACTTTTGAAATCAACTTCGAACGATTTCAATGTCCTTCTAATACGTTATTAGTGGCATGATTCTGAACGAGTTTTTCCTTATGCATAATTGACGGAAAACTCTAGTTTTCGTGATAAATAATTTTAAGAAAAAAATAAGCCGACTTCGAAATGCACTAAAAAGTATAAAATAATTTCTATTTCCTAATGAAGTAATTTCTATTTCATTCAATCATACAATTACGTAACAGATATGAATGAAACCTATTTACTCGTTAGGTAGTATATTAAATACATTTCAACCTTTTCGGAGGCGGCGCAAAATTAAAAGATTTTCTTGAACATGTCAACCCTTGGACAGCCGAACATAGACAAAGCTTGTATAGCTATTTTTTTTTCTATACGTATAACTCGACAGCACGCCGCGAAGTAGGTGTTAGTACGTATAGAATGTAACTATGGTCTATCTAGCCCTTTGCGGAGGGGACGGTTCGAAGTGAACCGTACCATGGGGCCGAGCGCCTACCGCGATAGTTATTAAAAATTGCCAGCGCATATTTCTGCTTAAACGCGGTTTTCGTTCATAGCATTCCAAGTCAAATTCTGGACATATTATATGTACATGCACAGATTTACGTGCATGCACACATGTACGCGTTTCTCGGCTCAATCAACTGTTTTCGCGAAACGCATATATGAGTTCTTCGGCCAATTTGATGATTTACGCAGAAC